TCAGCGTGGTCATTTGTGCTTCTAGTGGCTTAAGTTTGTTAAGATTTCAGTTGTTGGTTTTCTTGCTGTCCATGTCGTTCGCCCACACCAATGTTCAAGACTTGCTTTGTCATTGTCAAACTTTCACATCCATCGAGAGCAACACAAGATGACAAAGCCTGGATGGTTCTGATCCTTGTACTTTTAGACCCATCAGAATGTTTGAAGATCTTTTCTAGGTCTTTCATCTTTGCTTTCCCCACAGCCAATCTACTGCAGAGTAGCAATGTGGCACATTGTGCGCACTACATCATTCACCTGCAACACTTTGCCTTAGTGCATCCCACTGTCCACAACTCACCTCTTCCCCTGGCCAAGGCTCACGTCTGCACCCCTATCTAATTGTTCGCCTCTGTATCCCTGACCAAACATCACCTCTGTACCACCCCACTGTCCACAACTAACTTCTGCACCATTGTACAAAGCTCACCACTTAACTCCTGTCCAAAGTTCACCTCTGCACCACACCATCCACAGCTACCCCTGCCTTCCCATCCACAGCTTATCTCTGCATGTTCCATCCACAACTTACCTTTGCGCCTCCATTCACAACTCACCTCTGCACACCCAACCACAACTGTTTGCAGCTCAACTCTGCACCCCTTCTTCACAGCTCACCTCTGCTCCACACCATCCACAGCTCATCTCCACACTTCGCATCTACAACTTACACAACTGTTTGTAGCTCACCTCTGCAGTACATGTCCACCGCTCACGTCTGCGCCCCCTGTCCATAGCTCACCTCTACACCCCTTGTCTGCAGCTCATCTCTTCACTCCTCGGCCCCAACTCAGCTCACCTCTGCACCCCCATCTGAATCTCACCGCTGCACTCCTTCTTGAGGCTCACCCCTGCACCCCACAGCCCCAGGGGGGTGCAGAGGTGAGCTGCAGAATGTTGTGGATGAGGGGGGGGGGGTGCAGAGGTCAGTTGTGAACAAGGGTTGCAAAGGTAAGGTGTAAACAGTGGGTGCAGAGGTGAGCTGGAGACAGTTGTGGATGGGAGTTCCTATAGAGAGGGTCTGGCTGCTGACAGTTGTGTTTTTCAGAGGTAGTTATCCATATGAGGGCAGTGGAGGGAGATGGGAGGGGGTGCAAAGGTGAGCTGCAGTCAGGTGCTGCAGAGGTAAATTAACAGATGAGCCACAGACAGGGTACAAGGGTGTCAGGAATGGACTCAGCACTGGTGGTGGGACTCACCTGCCATGTGGGCTACAGTACCAGGGCTGGCCAGCGGGTGCTCTCAGTAACCAGAAGCTCACTCCTGCAGTCAGCCAACACCTGAGGCTGATTGCAGGAGGTGTAATTAAGGAATGGCCAGACCTGCAGTCAGTGCCTTGGTGTTTGTTTCCCATGTGCCCTGTTTCCTGTATCCTGTCTCCTGCCTGCTCAACTCTCCTGCTTGACTCTGACTCTGATAGAACTCCGCCTGCACTGACCCCGGCTATTCCTGACCATTCTTCTGCCTGCTCCCATTGTACCTTTCTGCCTGATTATTCCTGACCTGGCCTGCCTGACCACTCCACCTCTCCAGCCCTGACTGCACCTGTACCTATTAGTTTAAGGTTTGTTTTGTTTTGCACTGTGTTTGTTTATTTTGTGCAGCTCATAATAAATATTATTATTATTTAATCATTTCTGAAGCCTGCTGTTTCCCTGTGTCAGTCCACACATCTCTGGTCATACCTGGATCCCTGACAAAGGGTGTGTTGTGGACAATGGATGCAGAGGTGAGCTGCGGCGGGGGGTGCAGAGGTGAATTGCAAGGAAGCTTGCCTATGCACCCCCCGACCACAGCTCACCTCTGAACCCCCCCTGGCCTCAACTCAGATCACCTCTGCATACCCTGACCACAGGTCACCTCTGTAACCTCCTGGCCCCAACTCAGCTCACCTCTTCACCTCCATCTCAACTCAGCTCATCTCTGTACCCTGTCTGTGGCTCACCCTCTCCCCCTCTCCCTCTCCTCTTCCACTGCCCTCATATGGTTAGGTAGCTTTGCACAACACAACTGTCAGTAGCCGGCCTCTCTATTGTAACTTCGGTGGCAGGTCCTATCTTCACACACAGTGCACTCACGTACCGCTCTGCCTCTTCCCCATTGGCCAGCAATCACCCCTAGGGTTTCGACTTGTAAGCATCGGGCTGCAGGACGAGATGCCCCACTTGCCCCACCCCGATAAATACACTGCGCCCGCAGATATCAGTTCCTCCCCATCCCGAAGTGAGTAGAGCAGTATGGAGGGTCTGTGGGAGCCAATGGCGCCGTCACTTACAAACACAAAAACCGCACATCTGTGTTTATAGGGGACAGTAGACATGGATCTGCACAGGGCCAGTGCCGGAGGGGGTGGAATGGCGTTCCACCACGTTCCAGCTGAAAAAAAGCCCAGGTTGGATCCTTTGTTATTAATAATTGATCAAGGGAGGCATCTGTCTATATTTCAAAGTCTTAGAAATCAAGTCTTTACCATCAAGTCTAGAGATGAGCAAATGGGGCAAAACTTTGTTCGAAGAGAAAAATCAGCAAAATCCGAAATAGCTCCTAACCCCATTGAAGTCTTTAGGAGACAATTGCTTTATCCTGACCTTTTTCAAGGCCAGTTTGCAAGCTTTGGTTAAACAAAACATGGGCAGCTGAGCACTATTATAGTGGACTTGTAGCAATGCAAAAAAACTTTTACAAAGTCCACCCAGCTGGGAAAAGGTCTTTTAATGTGACGTAAAGGGCAACATCGAAAATACAGAAATCCTTTAACTAGCATGTGTGGGGACTGCCTTGAAGCTGAATCTGAAGTTGTGGATGCAGTACAATGTACTCTTCTAAAAGTGATATTGTGTTTACAGAAAGCAGCCAGGGATCTTTTATTTAGAGGTGGTAGCACTACTGCCTGTAAATGACAGATTCCCACCAGCTCCTGCTTGTCCCCTCCTAATGAAAGATCCCTTCCAGCTCCAGGTTGTCCCTTCCAAATGAAAGTTCTCCACCAGCTTCTGTTTGTTCCCTCCAAATGAAAAATTGCTACCAGATTCTGTTTGTCCCTTCTTAATGAAAGTTCCCCACCAGCTTCTGTCTGTCCCCTCCTAATGAAAGATCCCTTCCAGCTCCAGGTTGTCCCTTCCAAATTAAAGTTCTCCACCAGCTTCTGTTTGTCCCCTTCAAATGAAAAATTGCTACCAGATTCTGTTTGTCCCTTCTTAATGAAAGTTCCCCACCAGCTTCTGTCTGTCCTCTCCAAATGAAAGATCTCTGCCAGCTTCTGTCTGTCCCCTCCAAATGAAAGTTCTCCACCAGCTTCTGTCTGTCCCCTCCGAATGAAAGTTCTCCACCAGCTTCTGTCTGTCCCCTCCGAATGAAATATCTCTGCCAGCTTCTGTCTGTCCCCTCCGAATGAAAGTTCTCCACCAGCTTCTGTCTGTCCCCTCCGAATGAAATATCTCTGCCAGCTTCTGTCTGTCCCCTCCAAATGAAAGATCTGTGCCAGCTTCTGTCTTTCCCCTGCAAATTAAAGTTCTCCACCAACTTCTGTCTGTCCCCTCCAAATGAAAGTTCTCCACCAGCTTCTGTCTGTCCCCTCCAAATGAAAGTTCTCCACCAGCTTCTGTTTTTCCCCTCCAAATGAAAGTTCCCCACCAGCTTCTGTCTGTCCCTTCCTAATGAAAGATCTCTGCCAGCTTCTGTTTGTCCCCTTCTAATGAAAGATTCCTGCCTGCTTCTGTTTGGCCCTTCCTACTGAAAGATCTCTGCCAACTTCTGTTTGTCTCCTCTAAATGAAAGATTCCTACCAACTTCTGTTTGTCCCCAAAGAGAAAGGACCCTGGCCCTGACCCAACCCCAGGTGTGCAAGACTCCTGATGGGAACTGGGATACTTGGATCCAAGCAGCTGAAACCAGGCAGACCCAAACCAGGCAGACCCAGGTATTTGGTGGGGGCTCCACCAAAGGGGAGAACCTAACCATAAGGCTATTTGCCTTACCCCTCAAGATGTTCTGGACAAGTCTGAGGACTTACACCCTACTAATCATTAGTGAGTGACATTGTGCTGTGCCCACATCAGGAGGAAAGTGTAAAAACAAGCATGCAGGAAATACCGTGGTCATGGTGCCTTAGTAAAATCATAGTGAGCTCCCCAACCGTGAATATGTCTTGAACCCATGAGCTCTAGACTACCATTCCAGGAGCTCAAGCACTGCAACCTTTTCTCATCCAGGCCCCTGGCCAGACCAATGAAGCCCCATTCCTACCAGAATGTCGTTAGTACTTGATTATAGATTTCCCTTCTACCAGGGACAGGTCTGGTACACCAGGTTGGAATCAACCCAGGAGGAAGAGAAGCCTCCCACCATACATTGGGAAAACACTGACCAGCTTCCCCAGCTGTCTTCCTCCCGAACATTGACAAGAACAGAGAGATCTATGAATTACCTGGCACCATCTCAAGTTCTTCGTTCCTCCTCATCGCTCTTCACTGATGGAATGATGTGCACTTCTGGACAACCCAATACGTTTTCTGCTACAACTTCTGAAGAAGAGAGATTGCCCCACACCGACCTTCTCAGGAACTCCAACCACAAACCAGAGCGGAAAGAAGGTGGGTTTTTCTAACACGATAGCCAGGAAAGTAACTTCTCGCAAAGAAAAAAAATCAACAAGTTATCCTTCAGTGCCCCTTCATTGTCATTAGACGGTCAATCCACCCAAAAGTGAAAAATTACTTACAGATGGAGCCTGGCTGTCTTCTTTTTTGTCCTCAATTCTCCAGCAGCAAGATCTTCCAGTCATAATCCTTGGCTGTGTTCTCATCCACCAAGAAGATTTGGATGTCCCCCACCCACCTGTTACATTCACTATTGTATGAAATATGTGCAAATCCTGAAGGGATGGTGAGAACCCCTCATAATGGGCACAGCAGGTGTATAGCCCTGGGAACTCAGCACAGGGATGGTGGGAACTCCTCATAATGGGCACAGCAGGTGTATAGACCCGGGAACTCGGCACATGGGTGGTGGGAACCCCTCATAATGGGCACAGCGGGTGTACAGACACGGGAACTCAGCACAGGGATGGTGGGAACCCCTCATAATGGGCACAGCGGGTGTAAAGACCTGAGAGCTCAGCACAAGGATGGTGGTAACCCTTCATAATGTGTGCCACAAGTGTACAGACCCAGAAATTCAGGACAGGAATGGTGGGAACCCCTCATAATGGACAGAGCAGGTGCACAGATCCAGGAACTTGGCACAGGAATGGTGGGAACCCCTCATAATGGGCATGACAAGTGTACAGACCCAGGAACTCAGCACAGGGATGGTGGGGACCCCTCATAATGGGCACAGTAGGTGTACAGATCCAGGAACTCATCACAGGGATGATGTGAACCCCTCATAATGGGCCGGGTACACTGGTTTCCTCCCACACTCCTTAGACATGCTGGTAGGTGAATTGGCTCCTGTCTCAAGTGGCTCCAGTATGTATATGTATGAATGTGAGTTAGGGACCTTAGAATGTACGCTCCTCGGGGGCGGGGACTGATGTGAATGTACAATATATATGTAAAGCGCTGCGTACATTGACGTCACTATATAAGTTCCTGAAATAAATAAATATAATGCTATGGAAGCTTCCGTTTGATTATTCCTATTGGTGGTGGAAAAGTGGAAACCTTTTGGGGGACCCTTCATATGGGAAGGACCTTACCGCAGTGGATAATCGATCTCAGTGGCTCACAGGAGGACAGGGGCGCACTGACAACTCATGGGGACCCCGAGCAATAGGGGATCATGGGGCCCCTGTGTCCTCACCCAAACTCAAACCACACCCAAAAAAGCCTATGAAAAAGGGACCAGGGGCATCTCATGGGGCCCCCTACTGACCTCGGGCCCTCGGGGGCAGTGTCCGAGTTCCCAAATGGTCAGTTTGCCCCTGCAGGAGGATAATCCATTGCAGTGGCTTGTGGAAGGAGCCCACCTAAACAAGCGCTTTTGACCCACCTATTTGTAGGGGGATCAGTATATTGCGGTGAGTGCGATTGTGGAGGGGGGGAGCGTGAGTGACAGCGTGGGTCAGCAATTATATGTTCTAGGCACTGGTTTCATCACCAAGTTACCGATTGTTTACAGGATGTGGGAGGTGTCTTGTAGTACGGGGACACTGTTCGCTTCAAAAAGGGTGAACTGATGCACACACTATCACATATTGGCTTTGATATAGTTTGATAATGATATCCTCCTCTCTACCTTCCTCATCACCTCCTCCCGTGATATCCTCCTCTCTACCTTCCTCATCACCTCCTTCCGTGATATCCTCCTCTCTAGCTCCCTCATCACCTCCTCCCGTGATATCCTCCTCTCTACCTTCCTCATCACCTCCTCCCGTGATATCCTCCTCTCTACCTTCCTCATCACCTCCTCCCCCGTGATATCCTCCTCTCTACCTTCCTCATCACCTCCTCCCGTGATATCCTCCTCTCTACCTTCCTCATCACCTCCTCCCGTGATATCCTCCTCTCTACCTTCCTCATCACCTCCTCCCCCGTGATATCCTCCTCTCCACCTTCCTCATCACCTCCTCCCGTGATATCCTCCTCTCTAGCTCCCTCATCACCTCCTCCCGTGATATCCTCCTCTCTACCTTCCTCATCACCTCCTCCCGTGATATCCTCCTCTCTACCTCCCTCATCACCTCCTCCCCCGTGATATCCTCCTCTTTACTTTCCTCATCACCTCCTCCCGTGATATCCTTCTCTCTACCTTCCTCATCACCTCCTCCCGTGAGATCCTCCTCTCTACCTTCCTCATCACCTCCTCCCGTGATATCCTCCTCTCTACCTTCCTCATCACCTCCTCCCGTGATATCCTCCTCTCTACCTTCCTCATCACCTCCTCCCGTGATATCCTCCTCTCTACCTTCCTCATCACCTCCTTCCGTGATATCCTCCTCTCTAGCTCCCTCATCACCTCCTCCCGTGATATCCTCCTCTCTACCTTCCTCATCACCTCCTCCCGTGATATCCTCCTCTCTACCTTCCTCATCACCTCCTCCCGTGATATCCTCCTCTCCACCTTCCTCATCACCTCCTCCCGTGATATCCTCCTCTCTAGCTCCCTCATCACCTCCTCCCGTGATATCCTCCTCTCTACCTTCCTCATCACCTCCTCCCGTGATATCCTCCTCTCTACCTTCCTCATCACCTCCTCCCCTGATATCCTCCTCTCTACCTTTCTCATCACCTCCTCCCGTGATATCCTCCTCTCTACCTTCCTCATCACCTCCTCCCTTGATATCCTCCTCTCTAGCTCTCTCATCACCTCCTCTCGTGATATCCTCCTCTCTAGCTCCCTCATCACCTCCTCCCGTGATATCCTCCTCTCTAGCTCCCTCATCACCTCCTCCCGTGATATCCTCCTCTCTACCTTCCTCATCACCTCCTCCCGTGATATCCTCCTCTCTAGCTCCCTCATCACCTCCTCCCGTGATATCCTCCTCTCTACCTTCCTCATCACCTCCTCCCGTGAGATCCTCCTCTCTACCTTCCTCATCACCTCCTCCCGTGATATCCTCCTCTCTACCTTCCTCATCACCTCCTCCCGTGATATCCTCCTCTCTACCTTCCTCATCACCTCCTCCCGTGATATCCTCCTCTCTACCTCTCTCATCACCTCCTCCCGTGATATCCTCCTCTCTACCTTCCTCATCACCTCCTCCCGTGATATCCTCCTCTCTACCTTCCTCATCACCTCCTCCCGTGATATCCTCCTCTCCACCTTCCTCATCACCTCCTCCCGTGATATCCTCCTCTCTAGCTCCCTCATCACCTCCTCCCGTGATATCCTCCTCTCCACCTTCCTCATCACCTCCTCCCGTGATATCCTCCTCTCTAGCTCCCTCATCACCTCCTCCCATGATATCCTCCTCTCTACCTTCCTCATCACCTCCTCCCGTGATATCCTCCTCTCTAGCTCCCTCATCATCTCCTCCCGTGATATCCTCCTCTCTAGCTCCCTCATCATCTCCTCCCGTGATATCCTCCTCTCTAGCTCCCTCATCATCTCCTCCCGTGATATCCTCCTCTCTACCTTCCTCATCACCTCCTCCCGTGATATCCTCCTCTCTACCTTCCTCATCACCTCCTCCCGTGATATCCTCCTCTCTACCTTCCTCATCACCTCCTCCCGTGATATCCTCCTCTCTAGCTCCCTCATCACCTCCTCCCGTGATATCCTCCTTTCTACCTTCCTCATCACCTCCTCCCATGATATCCTCCTCTTTATCATCCACATCACCTCCTCCCATGATATCCTCTTCTCTACCTTCCTCATCACCTCCTCCCATGATATCCTCCTCTCTACCTTCCTCATCACCTCCTCCCGTGATATCCTCCTCTCTACCTTCCTCATCACCTCCTCCCATGATATCCTCCTCTCTACCTTCCTCATCACCTCCTCCCGTGATATCCTCCTCTCTACCTCCCTCATCACCTCCTCCCGTGATATCCTCCTCTCTACCTTCCGGTCAGCCCCCACCCTGTCTGCCTTTAGGCGATCTTTGAAAACTGACTTCTTCAGGGAAGTCTACCCCACCCCCACCTATGAACTGTACTTGAGTCACCTCCACCAGATCATCCCCCGCAGCTATCACCTTTTGTATCACCTCCCCCTTCCTTTAGATTGTAAGCTCCACGAGCCGGGCCCTCCTATTCCTTCTGTACTGAAATGTATTGTTCTGTATTCTTGTTCTCCCTTATATTGTACAGCGCTGCGCAGACTGTTGGCACTATATAAATCCTGTATAATAATAATAATATATGGACATTTGTGCACGTCGTATAAGGGGGAGGTGCATTGTAGTACTTGCTGTAGACACTATTCCGCTTTCAACGTTTATTATGTTTTACATACTTATTATGGATTGGTTCTCTAAACACACACAATTATTGGTGGGGGAGGTGTATTGTAGCACGCTAACTACATTTTCATTGTGAATAATCTTTATTGTGTACAAATGTTCTTCAATTATTCATCATAGTTGGTAAACAGTTGGGATTCTTTACGTTTACACGTCCTAATAGGGTAATAGTAATAGGGAGGTGTGCAAAACCTTTGTTTCACTGTGTTTCTAAAGCAGGTCATACATGGGTCGAATTCTGAATGATTTTTCGATCGAAATTCAAAAACATCGCTCGTTCTGTAATCCAATGGTGCCACCAACGATTTCGAAAATCGGTCGTTTTTCACGAATTTTCCAGCAAGGTTGGCACACACTGTTGCTGGTATGTTGGCCCACCCTCCATGCAGATCTCCTCTAGAGCAGTGATGTTTTGGGGCTGTCGCTGGGCAACACGGACTTTCAACTCCCTCCAAAGGTTTTCTATGGGGTTGAGATCTGGAGACTGGCTAGGCCACTCCAGGACCTTGAAATGCTTCTTACGAAGCCCCTCCTTCGTTGCCCGGGCGGTATGTTTGGGATCATTGTCATGTTGGAAGACCCAGCCACGTTTCATCTTCAATGCCCTTTCTGATGGAAGGAGGTTTGCACTCACAATCTCACGATACATGACCCCATTCATTCTCTCCTGTACATGGATCAGTCATCCTGGTCCCTTTGCGGAGAAACAGCCCCAAAGCATGATGTTGCCACCCCCATGCTTCACAGTAGGTATGGTGTTCTTTGGATGCAACTCAGCATTCTCTCTCCTCCAAACACGACGAGTTGTGTTTCTACCAAACAGTTCTATTTTGGTTTCATCTGACCATATGACATTCTCCCAATCCTCTTCTGGATCATCCAAATGCTCTCTAGCAAACTTCAGACGGGCCCCGGACATGTACTGGCTTAAGCAGGGGGACACATCTGGCACTGCAGGATCTGAGTCCCTGGCGGCGTAGTGTGTTACTGATGGTAGCCTTTGTTACGTTGGTCCCAGCTCTCTGCAGGTCATTCACTAGGTCCCCCCATGTGGTCCTGGGATTTTTGCTCACCGTTCTTGTGATAATTTTGACCCCACGGGGTGAGATCTTTCGTGGAGCCCCAGATGGAGGGAGATTATCAGTGGTCTTGTATGTCTTCCATTTTCTAATTATTGCTCCCACAGTTGATTTGTTCACACCAAGCTGCTTGCCTATTGCAGATTCAGTCTTCCCAGCCTGGTGCAGGTCTACAATTTTGTTTCTGGTGTCCTTCGACAGCTCTTTGGTCTTCACCATAGTGGAGTTTGGAGTGTGACTGTTTGAGGTTGTGGACAGGTGTCTTTTATACTGATAACAAGTTCAAACAGGTGCCATTGATACAGGTAATGAGTGCAGGACAGAGGAGCCTCTTAACCACTTCC